ATCGGGTACTATACGTTTTTCCCGTATATAAATTTTTTTCACAAAATGGTCAAATTTAGACCTGTTAAAATTAGGTTCAGTTCATAATGAATTCATTTTTTGTGTCTCCACCAAATGAAATATTCTGTTTAAAACATGCCGGTTTATGATTTGTCTGCTTTGTTTTTTTTCGGCTTAGTTGCCACATGGTAGAGCTGTTTTTTTTATGCACGCATTTTACATTATTTTTGCACTTAGTGTTTTGAATTACTTCTGCTATTTGTAATTTAACTAACCTGACTTCTCATATTTTCTTTTTTTTTGTTTTTTTTCGCTGATAAATTTTATTCTGCCCAAAGGTTGCTGGCTTATTTTTTAATGGCTTAATGAACTAATTTTGAGTCGTTTCAAGGGAGTCTTTTTTTAGTCTTTCTAATTTTTGTCGGCTCACTGCGAATCTTTCAATTCTGTAGTTTTTTTGGTAGATTTATAAGGCCTTTTTTTTCTCTTAGATTAGAGAGGGCCAATATATATTTCACGGTTTTTTGGTTTTTATACACGCCAAAACTTTCTGTTAAAAAAACAAGGAAAGTTAGATTAATTTTTTCGATTTTGTTTCTGCGGCGTTTATCTCTGTTTTTGTCGGTTAGTTTGCCTGTGTATGGGTTTAATCGCATGTAGCACGTTGTTTTGCTTCACCTCTCCTCGTAAAAGATGTAGTTTTTTCAGTTCCAAGATTTCGAATATTTTTGCTAATTTTATAACTTTTGAGGAAAAATATTTGAACGTTTTTTTAGTTCGATTTGTCGATTCATCTGCAAGTAGTGAGAATCATTCATTTTTCTCTGGTAAGAGGTGCGAAGCTCTGCTTTGCCTCTGTGTAACAACTGCAGTAAAATGTTTCCGATCTTTCAAGCCTACGATTTTTCAACAGAATTCATTTTTCACTTCGTTTGAGACATGTTATCTTCTGATATTTGGCATTTTATTTTGTACCGTAAGTGGTGCGAAGCTCAGCTTCGCCTGTGTTGGAAATTACCTTCTCATTCAACGTTGGGCACAGAAAATATTTAATTCACAGATCACGAAATGCAAATAAACAAAAAGAGTGATTATGAGTAATGCAGGATCTGTATCCACGAGTAATGACTACTGGACAGTATCGCGTGGCAGCGCCGTCCGATTCGGGTGGAAGTGTCGCGAGTGCAAAAAGGACATAGCGAAAGGTGAGAAAATAGTGGCAAGAGACGGCAGGAAAATCAGACTGTTTTACCACGAAGGATGTTTTTCTGGGTCCTCCGATCCAAGAACACAATGCAACAACACTATGAACCAAAACAGACACCCAAAGACGTCGTTCACGGAGTCAGCGCCACCGCAGAAAGGGCGTGGAAAGTGGAGTGTAGAGCAATATGGGTATAATCCAACTATGGGAAAATATAAATAGTCCGAGTCATCGTTTGTAATTATGCTGTGAAAAGTTTGTCATAAGTTAATTTGTACATATCGTAGAATAAATAAAGTTTAATGTTTGGTATTAAGAGTAATGAACATAGTGAGTACTCTTTTATAGGTTTTGCTGATTTTTTTTTTTAGGAAAAAGTCTTAAAATTTGTTCACGCTCAATTTTGATTTTTCGCGGTTTGACTTGCATTTCTATTGTTAAAAGGAAGGCAAACTCGAGTGTAAAAGTCACGAAAAAGGTGATCGACTTGTAATTTCGAAAATGGAATTAATTATCAGATTTCCCATCGAAAGAAAAGTTTTGCCTATTGATCCAGTTTTCTCAAACTGTGTTTATAACAAATAAGTGTCCATAATAAATTGTTCTACAAATTCAAAGAGCTTTCAGGCCATCTATTTTTTTTCTTCGAAACTTAAAAGTTGAAGGTTTTTGAAATCAAAACAAGTCAGTTTTTTTTCCTGTTTCCTTGCGCTCGTACTCTTTTCCAATCTTCGATCGGCTATTTCGGCATTAAAAATTTTCTTTCTTTATTCAAGCTTTTATGTTACATGTAACGAACTGAAGACGTTTGTTGTTTTTTAGGGAAAAAGTTTATCACGCTCAAATATATCTTCCGCGGTTTGACCTTAGCGTTCTTTTTAAGGCAGAAAACGATTTCCAAATTACGATTGGAGTGTTTTCAAAGCAAATTAAGATTTCAAATAACAAAAGTGGGAAACGTGGAGCTTGTCTTTTTGTCATGGCTGTAAAAGTCAACTGTAAAAGACTGTCAAAAGACGCTAGAAAATTTACCTATTGATTCCGTTTTCTCTAAATAGATTAACTTTAAGAGAAAATCACTCCTCATAACAATTCATGAAATTCCAAGAATTTAAACGCGATATATTTTTCTTAGAAAATCGAAATCTGAGAAATCATAAAACAATTTAAAGCAATTTTTTTTAGTTCTGTGTTACTTTTTGCTAACCTCCTATTGGCTATGTTCTTGAGTTGGTTCTAAATTTATCATCGCCAATGTGGTATAACTTCAATATTTTAGTTTTTCTTTTTCTATTTATTTGGCTTTAAAGGTTTCGGCGTATGTTTTATTGCTTAAGTTGCCTCATATTATGTCATTCGATAAGCGAAAAAAGTCGGCTCAACGGGTGTCCAATCAACTAATGTCGGCTTTGTCACCCTTTTTTTAACATTCATTCCTATGCTAATTTAACTTTGCAGACCATCCGAGACAAAATTTTGCTAGATCTAGCTTTGTAGAAATGAAGATTTTATCTTATTTAGCTTTGTAAAATTATTATATAATTTGTTTTAAGCTTTTTATCTACCCTTTAAGCTTAATAGTGGTATAATTTCTGGGTGTACATTGTTAATCGGAAACCAATTACAATTATCTGGGGATTCTAAATTATTAGGCGGCCATGGCAACTGAAATTCCTGACCCTGTAGTTGGGTGCTGTCAGAGTACTCTCAAGGATTGCTAATTTTGTCTCCAAATGTGACGGGTGAAATCCTCGTAGTTATCGAGATATGACGTTTTTAGTGATTTTTTCAAAAAAAATTTCAGGAAACTTTAACAACATTTTTTTCTTCAAAATTTGAAATTCCCAACCCTGTAGTTGGGGGCTATCAGAGTACTCTCAGGGGTTGCGAACCTTGCCTCCAGTTGTGACTGCTCAAATCCTTGTAGTTATCGAGATATGACGTTTTTTATGATTTTTTCGAAAAAAAATTTCAGGAAACTTCAACGAAATTGTTTTCTTCAAATTTTGAAATTCCCAACCCTGTAGTTGGGGGCTCTCAGAGAGTACTCTCAGGGTTTACGAACCTTGCCTCCAATTATGACTGCTCTAATCCTTGTAGTTTTCGAGATACGACGTTTTTTGTGATTTTTTCCAAAAATTTGAAATAATTTTTCTCTTCAAAATTTTAAATTCTCTACCCTGATTTTGGGTGTTGTCAGGGTACTCTCAGTGGTTGCCAATCTTGCCTCCAATTATGACTACTCGAATTTTGTATAAATTTCGAGATTTGACGTTTTCGGGATTTGACGGAAAATTGGAATTATAAAGAAAGTTGATAAAATTTGAAATTACCAAACCTGTAATTGGGCCCTGTCAGAGCACACTAAAAACCTGCAGATCTGGTTTCCAATTTATGTGGTTTTCATGAGTTGTCAATAATTCGAAGCACCGGAGGAGCGGTACACGCTAGTTTTTGTTGAATTGCATAATTTAAACATAATTTGGTTTTATGCTTTCGAATTTTTTACATACAAAATTGTGTCGTTTTGTATCTGGTGCACCTTTTGCGGTATCGTAATGGCAATTAATTAACATATTTAGCTTGGTTATTAGTGGCTAGTTTTTGAGCATCCGTGGCTGAGTGGTTAGTGCTTGAGACTCAAAGTTGCAAGGTCGCAGATTTGAATCCTATACGTGCCGAGTTTTTGCTAATTCGAAGCTTTTTTCTAATTTTTCTTATTTCACTTGATAGAGCTGCTTCTTGGTCGTTTTCTCGCAAGTGTTTGCGAAGCGCAACTTTACCTCTGTGTAGAATTTTACTTGTCGAGATGTATTTTATTTTAAACTTTACCAGAAAAAAAACGTACGTTACCTACGAGTCCACTGCTTTCGCTTGCAAGAGCAAAAGACATGTACTCAGCGCTAGGTTTTCCCCCCGCTAACAACTTTGTAATGGGTGTGCTTTTGGAACCTAAGGTTTCTAGTACGAATTCCGGGCGGACCTTGTTTTTTCAGAAGGTTTGAAATTGATCGAGAGTTCAATTTTTGTTGGTTTTTTTTTTTTCAGGAAAAAGTCCTCGCGCTAAAAGTTGGTTTTTTTGCGGTTTAATTTTTTTTAAGCTCATTTCTTTTGTTAAAAGAAAGGCAAACTCCTCCATCGAACAGCAAAAAGTAAAGGTCACAAAAAACCTGACCGATTTCTAGTTTCGAAAGTAGATTTTATTTTTCAGATTTCTCAGCGGAATAAAAATTCTACATTTTGATCCAGTTTTCTCAAATAAATAAGTAACCCGCATAATAAATATTTCATGAAATTCATGTAGTTCTAAGACCATTTTTTTCTTTGAAATTCAAAAGTTGAAGCTTTTTTCAAAAAACATTCAGTTTTGTTCTCCTGTTTCCTTGCGTTCGTTGACTTTTTTCAAACTCTGTTGCCTATGTCTTATTAGGTTCTTTTTTTTCAACAGTTGTCGGTCAGATTTTCTTCGCAAAGGTTTGCGAAAAGATGGATTCATTATCGCATCTACTGAAGCTGAGGCTGAATATGGCCAGAAAAAGATGCCCGCTTCTGATTAAATTAAGCAGACTCCGGTACGCTCGGTCATCACTGAAGCTTTATAAGCTTACACTCAAAGTCTTGTACATCTTTGAGTGTAAGCTCGAAGATGTGAGGTTGAGAATGACATGAAAAGATGTATATAGTGTGGTTGAACGTGTCGCCATGCAATCTGTGCTCTATTGATTTTTCAACTTACTCGGATATATCCCATATATATTATAACGTCATCTATATAAAAAAGCGCACATCATGATCTTGAGCATCTAAGAGCTAACTGACATTATTCTCATTTTTTAAGTGTTGTTGTTTCATTTCTACAGAGGATATTTTTTCTCAGCTATCTTAAAAATTAACGTTAGAAATATGAGTTTATGGAGCTTATGGTTTCTGATAACCAGTACTGTTATTTTTATTGGTTTTATTGAATCTGAATCACCTGAACTCCCACAAGAGAGACAAGTAGTGGCATTTTTTGATAGATCTTCGTCTTTTGGAAAAATAAACAGAAAAGGAGTTTTCAATTTTCCTTTTGTATGTATTCAAACTCCGCAAAAAACTGTTGAAAAAATTCGTTTCGAATTGAAAACTTCGGAAGAAAATCTTTTTGTGAAAACAATTAAGTGCGCTGAATCGACAGAAAGCAAGAGACATAAACTAAGAGTCAAGTTACCGGCCGGTTACATTTTCAACTATGATTACTACCAGGAATGGATGATTTTCGAGGACTCAATTAGCGCTGTGCTTTCAGGTAAGAGAAATAATAATTGTTATTTTAGTAAATTATCTTTTCTTTTTATAACGCAAACCATAAACTTAAAACCAAAAAAGTACCACCAGTAACAACACGGTAACCAACAGAATTACGGTCTAGAATTTCTGACGCAATTTAATGCAATCCAGAGAAAGCTCGAAGGGGATTGAAAGTGGTATCATTCTCTTTCAGTCCTGGTTTATAAATCTAACTAATTCTCAAAAGATGGTGTGAGTTTTTGTTCCGACCATTTAAAAAATAGGAAGGAACTTTGTATTCGGGCGTTTTATTTTTTTTGTTTTCCACGCAAAATCAGATACCACCAATAATTATCGGACTGGGTTGAGTGATATATCATAAGAAAGCCCTTTCAGTCTTGATTCGAACTACATTGAAAAGTTTCCAAAAAATTCCCGGTGTCGAAAAAAAAACCGGTTTGAAAGTTTTGGTTTTTCGTCTTATTTCGAGCAAATTAAGCGAGCGAGCAGGCTCACTTCAGCTTAATAATGCCTAATTTAAGGTCTAAAATTTAGTTTTAAGCAAGCATATTAGTTTTTGGAGGTTTTAGCTTCATTGTAGGAACCAAAAACTTCAGAAAAGTTCATAAATTATCTGCAAAAAAAATTTAATTGAAAAAAAAATTGAAATAATATAGAACAAATTTATCCCGTTGGCCTATTTTACTATGAATGTCGAATATTCCTAAATTATAGTTTATAGTCAGATCCCTTTATCACACCACGCAGAAAAAATTAGTGCTTTTTTCAAATTAGTGTAAAGATAATGCTACTTTCGCAGTAACCTGCTATCCTTCTTTTTGCCTGCTCATAGACCGTTTAAGGTGGCCATGCCTGATCTTAGTTTTAATTCAAGTGCAGTTCTTCAGCCAAACTTTTGATTTAACTTACTCCCTTGCTGAGTTTTCCGATTAATAGCAGTAAAGCGTATGCCAAGTGCCCGCATCGTTTCAAAAAAGCAAGAAAGCCTCGTCGGAGTATTCTGTGATATTTTCAATCCTATCAGGTATTCGTGCTATCCTTAGTTATGATTAGTGGTGAAACATTCGCTTGAATATAGCCTTCGAATGTTTGCCAATAATGTTTGAAAATTCGCAGCCGTGGCCGAGTGGGTAAAGCACACGTCTCTCTCAACACGATGGTAATGCGTTCGAATCCCACTACACTTGGAGGGGTCCCAGAGTCATCCGCCTCCTCAAAGTGGGACCGCCTGCGGCGAAATGGAGGATATCTTTTTACCCAAGGTTGGTCCTGCACTGAGCAGGACCGGGGGCTAATAAAAATAAATTGGGTATTCCATTGAATTTTCAGTATTCTTGCGACAAAAATTGAAGGCTATTTTTTCCGTCCCTTTAAATCCAAATCCTATGTGCGTCAATTTTATGGTGTAACGAGGGATTTTACAAGGTTAAGTTTGCTGACCAAATATGTTTGACATAGCCTAATGAGTCCTCATGCCAATTTTTGTAGCAATCCGACAATTTGGACAAAATATTACTTGTAAAAATTCGCAGGTGGGTGGGGGGATGAAAATTAGCCAAGTTGAAAACCAATATTTAATTGCACTTGCGATCGGGAACATTGTAGGTGTAACTGCTAGTGTTGTTCATTGTAGTTTCACAAGGGATTCATAAGTTTTTTTCCGGCTCAGCTTGTGTCTGCTCAAAGATTGTCGGCTTTCTTTCTTCTTTGTCAGTTTTGTTCTGTTGCCAATTTAGCATTCAAATGTCTGGCATCCATTTTTGCCTAGAATGAACTTCTATCGAGACATATGAAAATAAAAATATTGGTACAGGTTTTTTCAACATTTTTCTCGGTTCGTGTTTTATTATGTTTGTGTTGTATCGCTAGTGTGCTAAGCTCTGCTTCGCCTATGTTGAAAGTTTTCATGTCGAATATTTTGCACGTTCACATGATCTCTAGTTAGTGGTGCTCTTTTGTTTGTAACAACTTTTCCAGCAGTGCTGAAAACACGCTCAGACGGGTTACTCGAGAATGTTGTGCAGCAGAACGCGAGTGAGTTTTGGATACTAAGTGTAAACAACTCAATAACAAGCAGATCAAATAGGGCCTAATATTCGCGAGAGCCTTCAATGGTTTTTCTCGAACAATTATTCTGTTGCAACACTTGTTATAATTCAGATGCTACTCTGTTTGTATTCTATTATTTTGTTTACTGGTATCTATAGTTGCTAAATATTTGTGTGCAATTACACAAGCATAGCTTGTGTTACACTATGAACTCTCTTTTTTTTCCAACTTAAGTCGCAAGAATTGTTGCGAGGCAATTGCTGCGACAAAATGTTCATTTTGAAAAAGTTCATTTTGATCCAGCTATTAAGTGCAGCCAATGCTAAAGATATTAAAACAGACTATTATATTAAAAATAGCACTTTAGCTTCAAGGTATCATGGATCTGTAGCTTAGAGGTAGGGAAGGAGACCAGCAACAAAATAAGAGGGTTCGAACCTGGGCAGGGTCGGATGTTTAAATAAACTTTTTCGTATACTAGTTAATTGCGTCCGCTCTATAAATTGAGGCATGTTAGTTGGTGTATTTCTTTTTTTTTCAAATTGACTGCTAATGCGTCATAATTGGCTTGCGTCACTTAGCAATTACATAGACTCATAACTGGCGTGCGTCACTTAGGAATTTTGTAGACCAAAGTTTTACTCATTCATTTTTTCCCAGTAGCGTTATCGGTCATATTTTTGCTTGTGTATGCGAAGTGAAACTTCGCCTCTGTATCGATATTTGTTTTCATCAATCTGCTTTTTTTATTTTGCATCTTTTTTCTTGCTACAAAATTTTTCGTTGTGTCTGATATGGTTTGAAAATTAAAGAAGCTCTGCTGGTGGCGTGAAAAACTGGTCTAAATTTTTCGGTAAACCGACTCAAATTTAGCGGAGACTTTTCATCTTCACGATAAACCTTTTTACAAGTTGCTTTTTTGTATCTGGAGAATTATGAGGTCTTGTTACCAGACTATCCATAATAATTTATTTTTGCACGGCACACCCATTATCACTCACCACGCTTTGGGTTTGTATCATTGCTCTATGTTCATAAAAATGCCAAACATGTATCTTCAGCTTCTCTGTCTAAGCCAGACCTTGATAAACAGACACTTTTACCTAAACTCGAAATCTCTTGGAATTTTTTTACTTCTCGGATCATGATTTACGGTGCATGTATGTATCATGATACATATTTTGTAACAGCATGGAAACCGGATACATATTTTAGTTAACCAACTTGTAAAAGTATCCTCATCATTTGCAGAGTGGAAAAACAGTTATTATATTCTACAAATCATTCTCTTGCGATTCATCAAAATATTTACCGTGTATTTTTTAAATTTAAGTCTTTTATTTTTTTTTTACTAAATCAAGACCTATGATTTAATTGCAGCTTTTCTGATAGATCCTATCATGCTTCCAATTTTTTTTAGCTTTTATAGGCCAATAAATAATGCAAAAGTTCAGTAAAAATTTTTTTTTCTGTTGATAGTTAAGACTAAAAACTAGTTTTTGATATAAATTGGATGCAATTTATCATTTTTTTAGCGCAAGTATCGTGAATTTGTCTGAGATCTCATTGTTTTGTTTCATTCAAATAAAGAGTTTTCAAAATAAATGAAAACAAAAGTCACTAGAACAAAGTATGAGGCTGTGAGTTAGGACTGTTTCATAAGAAAAGTCTGTATCATTTTTTTCTGTTTCTTTTAAAAGAGCTGCCTTTTGTTTTTCACGACGTTTTGATGCAAGATGCGGCTAAACTCATATTCACATATTTTACAATCTGTCAGAACTTAGCAAAACTTGAAATAATACTGGCCTATTGGTTTTCCTGAAAATGCTTTTTAGACTCAAACAATATAATTCTGTGTATACATGTCTGTTCTGGAGTTTGTCAAGGACCATTTTTGGGAAAGGTGGTAATGTTTAAAGACAGTTTAAAGTGCTCTGAGCCCGTTAGTACCATATAACTCAAGCCAGTGATAAACGTGGAACATTTCTTATCCATGGTACAACTTCTATGGGCACCTAGATTTTCATCTTGACAATGGAAGTTTTGAGCTTCGCTCTTCTTTGACTCTTTGTCAAATTGGCAGTTGAAACTTTATCGAATAATCAGCTAATTGGTACCAATTGCTCATTTTATATGGAATTTTACAGTCACCAGCGGCTTTTATAGATCGGAAATGAATATCTCAAGGAGCTGTTTTTCTCGAACCCTAATCGTCAAGCATTTTTCATTGAAGAAAACCACATTACGTGCACAAATTCTGGCGCCAAACTTTTTTCAATTGAAAAATATCAGCGCCAATTGCACATGCAGAAGCATATGGACATCTGCTATCTGTTTTAAGAAAACTTCAGGTTCTAAAAAATTAAAAACAAAACAGACATCAGCTGTCGAGCCATCGCTGGATGATTTCGACGATATTGTGGACTCAGAACACTTGACATCTCAAATAAATTCAATTGAAACTAACTTACGAGACACATTCGACAGAGAGATTATCCTACGACCACCTTTGTCAACGTTTGAGAATATTTTAGTCGAAGTTGTGGATAGTTCTTCGGGCTATTCTGAAAAAGTTGAGCTTAAAATGATTGCACAGTTAAAATCTACAGTTTCAGAAGTTTCTATCGATCCTGTTGATCCAAAAGACGTTGAAGCTATTGTGAAATCTTTGAAAGAAAATTATTCGCAATCGTGGCCTAAAATTGAAGATACTGAGCCGACGCCGACCATAAAAATTCAACTAATGCGAGTTACTAAACAGTACAGAGAGCAGTTATGTGACATAAGCAAGAGCAAGGCAAAAGTTGCAAAAGAAGAAGCCAAAAAAGTTTTTGACGTTGCCAACAAGAAAATTAATAAAATGAAGAAAAATGGAGAAATTATGGATGACGAGTATATAGCTGTGCGCGATGCTCTAGTCTTGTGGAATAAATTCAATATGACCAAGTT